GGAAAACAGAAGCAGGGGTAGTCTTTGCACATCTGGTGGCAGCTCCCAAGGGGGTTTCTGTGATCCAACCCGTCACAGTTTGGATAAAGCATTTGTTGTTGAATGTAAAATTGGTATGGGGGAGGATGAAATGGATGAGTTTGACAATGTGTTTGGAGTGGAGATCTGAGGGTTGTCCACAGTCTTGTAAATATTTGAGGTGGGCAGCTATGCTCTCTTTGTGAGGGATGTTGGTGTATAGGGAGGTGACATCCATGGTGGCAAGGAGGGTGTTCTGAGGGAGGTCATTGATGTTGCGGAGTTTGTTGAGAAAGTACGTTGTGTCCTGGAGGAAGCTGGCCCTTTGTGTGAAGAGTGGTTTGAGGATAGTGTCTGTGAGTCCCGATATTGCTTCAGTAAGAGTGCCGTGGCCAGAGATAATGGGTCTGCCTGGGTTCCCTTGTTTATCTGGGGAAGGATTTGATGATATCCTTAAATTGGGTAAACTGTGGTGTGGGGTTGTCTTTGAGTTTGTTATAGTAGGTGGTGTTGGAGAATTGTTGGTTGGCCCCCATTAATGTATTCATTATGATTGAGGCAGACAAAGGGGGCACCACTATAATCCTGTGGAAATTCCTATTTCATTCTGCTTTTTTGACCCTTCCCAAATAACTCTGGAAGTGCATGTCCAGGGATTGAACAGAGATGATGGATGGATTTAAGGGTAGATTTGGAACAGACGCTGCCCGGGGGTACCTAGGGTTGTGATGCACCTCACCACCACCCACCCTTAGCATAAGGAAGACGTATGTGTGCTTGCTGTGAAACAGCTCCCAGAAACCACCAATATCTGGCAACACCAGCACTGCCCTCCAGGCCTCCTCAGTTCTCGCTCTCTGTGTACCAGTAGCAATAGGCACACACCAACTCCCGAGTCCTCGGAGTGTTCCCTGCAGCATCCAGCCCCTTATCCCCTGGACACACTCAGAACTACCAGGCCTCCGGTTCCCAGTTTGAAAGATTCAGCTCAGGACCAGCACTTCACTTAGCACCACAGCACTTAGATCTATTTATAGAGAAAAGAATAAGAAGTTTCTTATCAAAGGATGGCAACTTCCTGTAGAGGATTTAAAGATGTATCCCATAATGCGTTTCTCATTAGGTCACACATTTTGTAGGCACTCATTATGATTCATTCCAGCACTTCTCCGGAGATTTCTAAATTTCAACCTGTACACCTCAGGGGTAATTTGAAACCTTTGCAAGACAGCTTTTTTAAATTCAGGATATATCAAAGCTTCTCCAATCAGCATTTCATTCAATACATTTAAAGCTTTACCCAGGAGTTGTGCAATCAGTCTGGGGATTGGCCTGTCTTCTGGAACTTTATGTAGTTTACTTAGCCTTTCAAAAGTGATGAGGTATTCTTCAATACAGTCTGTTTCCTTGTATGCAGGGCACGACTTATCCCAGCTAGGTGTTCCTTGGATGGAGGGAGTAGCTGGGGATGGTGGAATCTGTCCTGCCTGTCCCTTATGCTCCGGGCCGGCAGTCTTCCCTTTTCTTGGGCTTCCATCTCTTTCAGCTCCATGGCCCACCAATGTGCTGCTGCCTTTCTGCCCCCCTCTCCTTGGCTCTCATCTCTGCTTCCCACTTTCTGCTCAGCTAACCATATTTGGTATCCACATTCGTGGTCTTTCTGCTCATTCTCCAGCCCGACCAGCTCTCACTTGGTAGTTGCTTCCTTGTCGCCCATGTTTACGCTTTACTTTTGTTCTATTTTCCTTTCCTGAAATAAACAAACAGAAAATAATAAAGCTGTAAGCTTTCTTTTGACTGTTCCCACCCACCACACTTGAGAATCTCTTAAAAGTGTTACACCAGTGATTGAAGTGCAAACCTCAGTTAAAATAACAAGCTTTGTATAAATCCTGCTTTGACTACATCACTATCACATTCTGGGGTGCAATCCTGATCAGTGAGGGGCTGTGTCACCGCCTGCCCTGTAACCCTGGGTGCCTCACAATGCTTTGCTGTTGTAGCTCCCGGCCTGGGCCACTCACAACCAGCCTGCCAGCACGCAGGTCACACCCTGAGTGTCTGTGTATAACCGTAGCCCTGGTCCAGTAGCCTGTCAGCAACACACTAGTCATACTCCAGCTTCCACCAGCCTTGGTTATTTTTGGAGGGTGACCCCAAATTTCCTCAAAATGTGTGTTCTGCACTGTCAAGCTCTCGCCTGGACAGTTCAGATATTAAAGTTAAGTTGCTCCTATACAATAAGCAACAGTTTGCTACTTGAACTGGAGTTACCAAACAGTTCAGTTTAAACACAGCACTGGATTGGTTTAGATTAAAACAATAAAACAAGTTTATTAACAAGAGAAGATAGTTTTAAAGTGAATTCAAATATAAGAGATGAAGTTAGAAGTGGTTACCAGCAACTAAAAGCTAAAACACACATCTGAAAAGTCTAAAACTTAATCTAGCAAGTTTTGGTTCAAGGCTTTTGCTCAAGATGACCTTTCTCACCTACAGTCTTCCAGCAAGATGGTGACTGACTCCATTTGGTCAGGATCTCTCCCAGAGGCCCAAAGGTGCTGGTGCCTGTGTCTTCTCAGGTGAAAGAACTTGGGGTTCTCTGCCCTTCTCTCTTATAGTCCAGTGAACCTTTGAAATGGATTCTTCTGAAGATTAGCCTTCAAAGCAAAGTTTATGCAAACAGTAAAGGAAGTGACAAGGAGTCTGGTGGTAAAAAAGGATCCATGTTCTTTCTTCCCACCTGGGTTTGCTGAAATGCAAATTTGCTTTGTCCCCAGCCATTTCCTCCCTCTGCTGTCTCAAGGACCCTATTTACTACTTTTATGGAAACTGAAGTAAACACTTTGTTTAGAACAGGCCTGTTTAACAGACGTTGCCTAGGCAGGGCTCTGTGGTTTTGGACATGTGCTAATAACATCATACAGGGGGATTTCATAACTTTACATATAATGTTGCTACAGATATTTTATCATGATATTATTGACCAGAGAGTTATTAGTTTTCAAATGATACTTCACAAGGCATATTTTGTACAAAGATTATTACAATGGTGTGTAGGGTGTGAATTCAGGGGTGCTGTCGGTCACACTCTCCGAATGGAGCCAGGAGCTGAAGGTACTTCTGGAATACAAACCACAGTCAATGTGTGTGTCAGGAGCTCCCACTGGGGTAGGACAGGTGGTCCCCACTTCTCCCACAGAGGGAGAAGGCATGACTGACCCTCGAGGAGCAAGGGAAACTCTCCATTTTAGAAATCAGCGTTAAGCCTGCCTGAGGAGAGTTGGCGCCTTGCGATCTGAGGAGGGTCTTGTTCAAGAATGGTTTAATTTGTTGACTGCTTGTTAACTTTTGACTGTTTTGTTATGCAAATATGTTAGGTGCCATTTACTGTCCTTAATATCCAGGCCACCTTTCCCCTCAGACTAGCTTTTCCCTCCTTTCAGAGGTGAACAGACTGTAGTTTGAGAAGGAATTGAACCTGAGAACTTCTGGCTCTAAAGGTAGGAGCTGTTACTGCCTGAGCTAAATGATTTAGGTCTATTAGCCAAGCCAAGTAACAGGCTTATCAACCCCTGTGGCCCAGGCACCCTTAGATGAGGACCGAGCACCAGTGGCGTAGCCAGGTGGAAGGAACAGGGGGAGAGATCAGAGAAAAAGGCGCCACCCGCTGCGGTGCTTTTACTCACCCGGCGGCGCTTTTACTGACAGGGCGGCGCTCCTCCTCTTCGGCAGCGGGCCCTTCACTAGCTCCGGGTGTCTCCGGCGCCACTGAAGGACCCGCCGCTGAAATGCCGCCGAAGCCCTGCAGAGTGAGTGAAGGTCGCGCCGCCAAGACCGCGCCACAGCGGGTGGCACTTTTTTTTGGTGAGTGAGTTAAAAAGGTGCCACTTTTGGGGAATGTGCTCAGGGGGAGTGGCCGCTCTCCCTGCTCCCCCCAGCTATGCTACTGCCGAGCACCGCAATGAGTGGGTTACATAAGCCCTTGTGTCCTCATGCCAAATTGAGGTTCTGATGAACTTAAGGGACACTGCTACTAACAGCAGGTTAGGAGGGCTTGGATTCACATAGTTTCTGGTTCCTTTTAGTTGCAGGCACTGGCCTCTGAACTAAAAACTGGTTTCACTGAAGCAATGCAGGAACTTTCAAGAATTCAGCATGGAGAGTATGCTCTGGAGGAGAAGGTTAAGAGCTGCCACTGTACAATGGAAGAGAAAGTGTCAGAGATGAAGAATTCGCTGAACTCTTTCAAGGTAGGAGCTATTTACACTTGTTACATTCCTCAGACACCTGTTACATTCAGTGCAGGCTCACAGAGGTCTTCAATAAAAACGTAAGTGTCCTTGCTAGAAGACTGCAATGTAACATGACTATTTCTTAGAACTGAGAACAAAACATAAGAACCCCAAAACAGAGAGAGACTAAGCAGGCTACTCCCTACCACAGAGAGGACAACTCAACCCACTTTGGCTGTCTGGCTGCAGACTGAGTGTTGCTAGGCTCAGATTTCACACATCCCTACAAAGTCCCCTAGGCTGCAAGTGAGACTAGGAAAACCCCTTATCATTTATAATGCGAGCCTACAATTTTAACCCAGTTTTTAAATATGCCACAACACCCTCTCCTGTTCTGAACAGCATGAAAGAGCATGCAGCTACAAGCCAAGCCCAGAAATGCGTTAAACTAAAACAAACAGAGAAAATGAACTACTTGGACCCCATATTCTGGGTGTGGCTGCTTATCACATTGGATTAATGAACTAGCTGGACTCAACTGTAGAGACCCAGAGCCAGTCCCGTCATATCATAGGTCAGAAGTGAAAATGAGTCTTGATAACGAGTATACACATGTCCCTCATCACAGAACTACTGCACAGCCAGTGCCTGAGAGCAGGGGGTTTGTAGGTCGTCGCTGAAGGGCATTGCTACAGAGTCATATTGAAGCTCGAACAGAGCCTGTCTGCTTTCATGAGAGGGAAACAGAACATGTAGATAAATGAACTCAGATAAAACCCTCTAAGGGTGGGCTAAAGTCATTCAGAAAGTTGGGCTCATTGATTTCAGTGGGAGAGAAACGCCTCAGCAACACTGAAACTCCAGCCTTGGGGCAGATCCTGGCCCCCAGTCTAGAAGCTTTGCACCTCTCTGGCAGTGCACAGCAGGGGGAGAGATGGCTTAGCCTCCTGGTGATGGATTCCCCCAGCTCTGCAGCACCACCTCTAGCGCCTCCCACCCCACCCACCCATATGAAGTTATATGGGAAAAAGGATAAATGGATAATTTAAAAATAAATAAAGCAAACTAAGTTCCCGATCCTGCAAATACTTACATGTGAGTGACCCCATTGTGGGATGAGGACTGCATGAGGGCACTACCAGCTGCTCTCTGCGTCT